GTATAATTTCTAATCTCCATCATGGTTTTAATTTCCAATGCTACTGATTCCTATACCCTATCTAATCAGTCATTACATCTGCCGTAACCCATTCGTCTTTCAATTACGTCTGCTTCAATTACCACCATACGTCAAACTCTTATTGAAACACAACTCTGTTATTGCATTTCTCTCTGCAACCTTCATCTTCTTCATGAAATCAACACTCTTTTTCCTTTCATCATGTCTTCAAAAACACAAAAATAACATGCTGGTCTTATTTTGGAAACTCCCATACCAGAATCTACTTCGCATACACAAATGACCAAAAAAGTAATCAAAACCCTAACACCTTCTGAAGTTGAAACTTCGATTCTTATTAATTTGCCCAATAACGCTAAGGGCCTTAGCCCAGCATTTCTCAATCGATCACCTCCATCATTAGCCTCGTTTTATCCCCAATAAGAGGAACATCTTCCTTTTTCCAAGCCGATTTACCAAACCACAGAAGGTAAACGGCCATCTTTATTAATCAGGAACTGGCACCCTCCCATGCTTCAATTGAGTGAGTGGGTGGACCGTGTCTTTACAGCAAAAGGTGAATTGTGGAAACGCATAGGCATATTTGACATTATCCAACTGAGTAAGATCCCTCTAACCTTAGATAGATCTCTATTTTTCGCATCTTTGCATTTCTAGTCTCCCACGACCAACTCACTACACTTGCACTGTGGGATGATGTCTCCCACCCTTCGTGATGTATGCTTTCTAACTGGTCTCAAACCTAGAGGAGATGATATTAATTACCTCCTTCAGGACCCTGAAACGACATTTAATTTCCCTGAACAAGAAGGATCTAAACCATTCGTTCAATCTCATGGCCCATTCTTGAAAGAAATGCTTGGTAATTTCGGGTTTGAAGTAGATGAACAAGAACACATAGGATTTTTACTGTTATGGTTGTGCAAACACCTTTTATATGCTCTTGCCATTCAAATTCCGAAGGACTTTACCCAATTGGCCATTGCCTTGTCTAAAGGTAAAGCTATGGCTTTAGCGCCATTTATCTTGGCGTCATTATACCAAGGGATATCAGACCTTATTGTATCAAACTTTTTAAGGTCTGGAGGGCCGTTTTGGCTTTATCAATTATGGCTACAAGCTTACTTCCCTGAATTGTCACCCACTATTCAACTTGTAGCAAGTGATCCCCTAATATCCTTTGGTTATGCCAGAGCTAAGCCCAAAGACCAATCTTTCCTGGATTATTTTCTTTTCTTCTATCATCAATGTACCTTCCGAACCCATGCTCAATTTCTTCCTTTTGCAAACTGTCGATTAACCGCATCTTGGTTATTTCTTCCTACAGCCGAGTCTTCTACTGAACAAGTAGAAGCATACAAAAACTCTTGGGGTCACTTTTTAATTGCAGGAGACATTTCCTACAACAATGTTGTTCCTTATATTGCCAAAAGCAGAACTGGGGTAGAGTTCTACAACCCATCACAATTGGCCAGACAATTTGGGTTAACCCAACTGATTCCCGTGCCCCCCTCATTTCTCATACAATAAGAACTACCACAGGAGAGTAAAACTTTCAGATACCGATCAAATCAGAGAAGTAACCAATAAATTTCACAGTCCCTGCAAAGTTTCCAATACAAAGAATTTGTCGCAGAACCTTACACTGACCCATCCTTTGAGAAATGGTGGTCAGCATATGTCAATTTTACCAGGACCCAGGATTCTACCCAATTGACTCATAATCTTCTTGGATCATACAAGTTCATATCTCTGTCCTTTCAAGGAGGAGAAACAATCACACCTGCTGTTCTTGCCACAGCTCCTACACCAGAGGATAAGCCCATTAAATCCACCAGTCATGCTCCACCAACAACTCAAGCAGGTAAAACTAGATCACGCTCTCGGCAGAGTAAGTTGTGGTCCTCATTTTTATCTCATCAATAATATTATCTACACTTCCATATAGATTTGTTATTATTTAAAACTGCAGGTGCTCCAGAAGGAACAAACCCAACTTTGTCATAATCAACCCCACCTGATCTCTACACTCCTTTTCGAAGCATACCTCATGTAACTGTTACTCAGGTAACACTTATGATCAAACCGTAACCATTCTTTGGATACATAACATTTTTCCTGCTAATTCTTTTGTTCCAGAGAAAAACAAGAAAGAAAACTATGGGAAAGAAGCCTGCTAGAAAATCAAGAGCCAAAAGACACTTCGTCTTAATTGATGATGATGATGACGTAGATGAAGATGAAATTATGTCTAAGAAAAAGAAGTCTGCCACTGAAACTCTCATGGTAAAATTCCTTGATGTCTGACTACATTTTTGTTCAAACAGTATGACAAAATCGGCATTAATTTCAGGAAACTCCACCCTCTTCAGAGCAAAAATCAAGTCGAGACTTTACTATGGACAACATTGAAAAGGAAAAGATTGAAGTTTCAGTGGAGCAAGAACAAAGACCCCCTAAAAAGATTTCTCTAGCTTCCTCTTAACACCTAGCTTCAACTCCCATGAATGAGCAGATTGGAGACTCTAAGGAAGTAAATATCCAAAATGAACATATTACTTGTTTATTTGTGATGATTGAAACTGAGTCAAAACATTTCAGGTGCAGCAGGACCCTTCTTCTCCTATTGTGCTTGCAAGATCTAACCCAAGTTCACCATTCACCACTTTGGATTCCTTATTTGATTCTATGTTTGACTCCCTAAACCCTGAACCTCCTGTAATCCCCACTGGACCAACTCCTGAAACGCCTTTGGAGGTAACACAAGCTGTTCAGATTCTATCCAATATGGTACAACAAAACTTGTCTTTTACCCCATCATTCAAAAATGAATTAATCGAGACGCTTTCTTTCCTAAGTAGCTATCCAGGATTTCCCTTAAGCGACTTGACCTTTTTAAAGAATTTTCAGCTTCAAGTTCCTACCATGATCACTGCATATATTGAAGCAAACTAGGCTCTCCAACATTGCTCCATCCAGTACCAAGGAAAAGAAAAGCTCGCTAAGACGTTGAAAATGGGAAAAGAGCCCGAGAGAAGAAGATTCAAGCCGAGCTTGCTCAATTGCAACTAGACAAAACCCACCTCAACGGCAAAGTGATAGAACTGAAGATTCAAGCCGAAACTGCTACTCCCAAATTCAAAGTGTTGCAGGCCCAATTGCCTAAGTTAGAGCAATCCAAGAAACAAGCAGAAACCAAACTCCAGCAAACTACAACCTCTTGGGCCAATTTCAAGGCCAAATTTAAACACTTTCACAAGAACTTTACCTAACTTTGAACAATTATTACTATCTTTTCTGTAATGGTCTGTAATATGGTTTTGAATAATTTACTTTTTGGGAATGTGATGTTTTGAACAATCTTGCTACAATGATATTTTAATCTTTAAAATATACTGAGATTTTATTCATTGCATTAAACAAAAGGCAAATATAATCCAAACTATTTTGACTTAATTGGAGATTTTCTTTTCTTCCATAAGCTCAAAAATAGTTGGTTTATATTTTTTAAGGTACCTTCCATTTATTGGCCTTTCTATACTTAGCCATCCAAATCCTTCAGCTTATATGCACCTCCATGCAACACCTGGTGAACTATATATGGGCCTTTCCAAGTAAGTGACCATTTTTCATAAATTCTATATACTTTTCCAAGTGGAAGAATTGTTTGCCAAACCATATCACTCTCTGCAAATGACTTAAACTTGACCCTTTTATTGTAAACCTTCATTTTTGCCTTATGGACCATAAGGTGGTCTAAAGCAAGTTTCCGAACCTCATCTAAGTCTTCCAACTCGGCAAGCATAGCTTCATTGTAATCGGCAGGTATTAGATTGTGTTGCAAAGCTACCCTTGCCGATTTTACATTTAACTCCATTGGCAACACAACATCATGACCAAATGTTAACCGATATGGAGTAGTTCCAGTACTTGTTCACTTTGAATTAAGCCCATAAGGCTTCTGAAAGGGTTTCATGCCAACGTCTTGGCTTATCCTTTATCATTTTCTCAATAATTTCAATCACAACCTTGTTTGAAGCCTCAGCTTGACCATTCCCTTGAGCATAGTATGGTGTTGAAGTTAACATTTTCACTTGCATATCGCGACTGAGTTGTAACATTTCTCCTGCTCGAAACATAGACCCATTATTGGCAACAATTATTTCTGGTAAACTAAATCAGTGAAAGATGTGTCGCTCCAAAAATTGTATCAGAGTGTTGTAAGTTACCGAGGCATATTCCTCAGCCTCTACCAATTTGGTAAAATAATCAGTAACTAAAATAATCCAATGATGACCCTTTGATGAAGGAGGATTAATCTTGCAAATCAAGTCCATAGCCCAACCTCTTAAATGCCATGGTTTGACTAATAACTGCATCTCTATTGCTAGAACCTACTGCATTGGGCCATGCTTTTGACAATCTGTACAACCCTTTGCATAGGTCAGACAGTCTTTTCTCATTCCAGGCCAATAATATCCATATTGGCGTATCAACCACCTCATTTTTATGCCATCTTGGTTAGCTTCACATATCCCTTCATGTACATCTACCATAATCTTTAAACCTTCAAACTTGCTAGTGCATTGAATTAGTAAACCATCATCAGCCGATCTTCTATAAAGATCTCCATCCATAAGTACATAATCGACTACACTCCTTTTTATTCTTCGATCGGCTTCTGGAGTTGGATGCTGCAAGAACAAGATGTAAGGGATTCGCCAATCATCATCATCTAACTCGGCAACATCAGTGGCAAAGACTTCTTCTATAATTTGATTTCTTGTTTCAGCCGATGGAAGAGATCGGCGTGTGATTTTCATTATTCTTTCCTTCATACCACTCGGCACCCTTGTTCCTGAAGTAGTCTATGTTAAATCATTAACTATTTTATTGATGACCCCTGGTCTGTATTCCAAAGTCACATTGTGAAATTGGTTAACCAATTGGGTTGCCAATGAATGAAATGGCCTTAATTGCTAATTCAAGCATCTAAAGTCTTCCGAGATTTGATTAATCACCAAACTTGAATCCCCCACAATGTGGACATCTTTGACTGCCATTTCTAGCAGATTTTCCAAGCCGGTAATCAATGCTTCATACTCGGCTTGATTATTTGAGCACCTAAAATCCAAAAAAAAGGAAAACGAAATTTGGTTCCCTGTTGGGGATATTATCACTATACCAGCTCCTGAGCCTTCGCTGGTGCTTGACCCATCGAACATTAAAGTCCAAGAGGTCATGAATATGGCTGCCGAGTCAAGCTCATCAAACACTTGTGACTCAATTTCAGGCGAGGGATGATCGGCAAGAAAATCTGCCAATGCTTTCCCCTTAATCGCCTTTTGTGGAACATATGCAAAGTTGAACTCCATTAGTGCCAAAGCCCACTTGCCGATTCTGCCTGTGATTAATGGCCTTGATAACATATACTTTATAAGATCTGTTTGACAAACAATATAAACCAAAACTAACATATAGACTCTTAATTTCATTGCTGTAAAATACAAAGCCAAACATAATTTCTCAATCGGCATATATCTACACTCGACTGGAGTTAAAACTTGGCTGAGATAATATATTGCTTGTTCACTTCCTGCTTCGTTCTCTTATGCCAGCATAGCTCCAATGGATTCTTCAGCAACCGATAAATATAACTTCATCGGCCATTTCTTCCTCGGCGGCATCATGACAGGAGGACTTGACAAGTACTTCTTGATCTGCTCAAATGCCCTTTGATGTGTATCATCCCATTTGAATTCTTCTACCGGCTTCAACTTCAGAAGCGGAGAAAATACATGTAACGTACCAGCTGTATTGGTAATAAATCGCCTAAAATAGTTAACTTGCCCAAGTAACCTCTGCAACTATTTCTTACTTCTCGGCGCACTAACATTAATAATTACCTTAGCTTTATTCCTATCGATCTCTATACCCCTTTGATGAACCAAGAAACCCAAAAAGTTTCCTGCCGATATTCCAAAGGCACACTTTATTGGATTCATCTTTAACTTGTGAGCCCTCATCCTCTCAAAGGATGCTTTGAAATGAACCAAGTGCTCCTTTTTCGTTACTGATTTCACTACCACATCATCAATATACACCTCCATAAACTTGTCGAGCATATCATGAAAGATAGAATTCAAAGCTCGCTGATATGTAGTACCAGCATTCTTTAAACCAAAAGGCATTACCACCCACTCAAAAGTTCCAATCGATCCGGGACACCTAAAAGTTGTCTTTGGGATATCCTCCTCAGCTATATAAATTTGATTATAGCCTGAGTGTCCATCCATAAAAGACATGATTTCATGCTTGGCAGCCGCATCAATCAATTAATCGGCTATCCGCATTGGATACTCATCTTTTGGGGTTGCCAAGTTTATGTTTCGGAAATTAACACACACTCGTAATTTGCCATTTTTCTTAATAACAGGAACTACATTTGATAGTCACTCAACATACCTTGTAATTCGAATGAAACCGGCATCCAACAATCGTTCGATTTCCATCTTGACTTTATCTACTACCTCTTGAGACATTCAACAAGGTGGCTGTTTATATGGCTTGTAGCCATCTTTAATGGGCAACCGATGTTCTAACAGATCTCTGGATAAACCCGGTATTTCCTCATAATTCCAAGCAAAACAGTCACTGTATTCTTTTAACATGCCGATAACCTCGGCTTGTAATTCTGGTTCTAACAGTGCACTAATGTAGGTTGGTCTAGGCTTTGCATCAATGCCTAAATTCACCTCCTTTAATGGATCTTGAGTTTCTGCTTTAAGATCATCAAGCTTAGCTAGTGCCAATCCCAAGTCTTCCAACTAAATGACATCTAACTTTTCATTATCGATTTGATCAACTTCAGCAAAATTAGCCGATGGTCCTGGCTCTATTTTTGCTTCCTTTTCCAATCATCTTTCGGCTATGTATGCTTATAACCTAATGCAAGCGGCCCTAAAGGCCTGCTGCTGAGTTGCTTCTCTTTCAAGTTTCGCTTCCATTAATAACTTCTTCTTCAATTATCGTAAGCTGAGGGAGTTCTACCTTCGGCCTAGAATTCTCCTACTGCAACTCGCCGATTTCACGATCGGCAAGACTTCTTCTCATGGTTGCCGATGTAGGTCTTCCATCGGCTCCTGTTCCCATAAATCGAATAGGAACACATTCTTCATCATACAAAACAACATCTGCCAAGTAAACTTTTGCCACAAATAGCTTATCATCGGCATTCACTATTTTCACCTTATCTCCATCCCAAAAAATCAACATCTGGTGTAATAATGATGGAATACACATATTTGGATGAATCTAGTCACGGCCTAATAACAAATTATATGAAGCCGTGGACTCAATAATAAAAAATACCGCAAAAGATGTTCTTCCTCCAACTTCAACCTCCAAAGGAAGAATTCCTTTTGTGCTAGTAGAACCTCCATTAAACCCACAAATTGCTACATTAGTGGGAATAACATCTTCCATACTCTTACCGAGTTTCTTCAGAGTATTAGCTAGAATAACATTCAGAACCGAGCCATTGTCAACTAAAACTCGGTTAATAGGTTGGCCTTCTACCCATACCTTGACATACAAAGGCTTTAGTTGCTGAGTCATTGCTAACAAAGGTTTCTCAAAGACTACCTTTTCTGCCAATTCTAAAGAAAGAATCGATAAATTCTTACTCGGCTGAGTTCTTTTCTCTTTGGTCCCATCATCTTATGTTTCTTTCTTATTTTCGGTACTTGCATTTGATGCCGATGGGGCCTGGAACATTGCTGGTAATACAAACGCCATATTATATGACATTTCATCTAGGAAACTGCCAAACTGAATTCTGAACTCATTTTTGTGTCTGGGCTATGTCGGCTGATGCTCCTCTACCTTATCCAATTGATCTTTATCTGGAATACTGACTTCCTCAGCTGACTCTTCTTTGCTTACCTCTTCAGCTTTCCTTTTTTCCTCAGCTCTTCACCTCTGTTCCCTGCGTTTCTGAGATCGAGTAAGGCCTTCATTCTGATATTGTTGAACTTTAGGGAATTTTGGGTGATTGACTCGAGTCCATCTATCTTCTGCTGAGTCTATCCTTGGTTTCACAGTTCGCACATCGGCTCCCTTTTGTACCCAAATTTCTGACTGAACTGGCGACCGCCTTTTAAAACTGGGATGCCGATTTTGGTGATGGAATCGGCTAGATATGTATACTTACCGATTTTTGCTTTCCCGCCTTCAAATGACTGCTGCTGAGCTTATCCTGCCAAGGCTCTTCCCGAGGCTTAATTGGGAAAGCAAGCCTCTCAAGAATTCCTTTCTTCTTTGGCTGAACCTCAACTGGCTTTCTTTCCTTCGATTTCTGCTTTCCCTTGCAATTTGGGCAACAGCCATGGTCGATCAAGGCCAATTAAGCCTCCCTTAATTGTCTCTACAATTCTGCCATTTTTTCAGGTGTCACACTTGATGAAAGGAACTCACCTAATATCTTCTTAGCCTCTTGCCGATTTCCTCGCTTGGCTAAGCTTATCACATTTGTTGATGTAATTGTAGGGAATGGATTGGTATTTACTTTCATAGTCTCTATAGTTTTCTCCGGGAATTTTAGAGTACCTTCGTTAATAACTTTTTGCAATACACCTCGTAGAATAGTACAATCATTAGTAGCATGGTTCCAAGAGTTATGATACTTACAGTACTCTTTCCCTTTCAGGTCACTTGCCGATGGAATCTTATGCCCCTTAGGCAAAGATATCATTCTATCGACCATCAAGTGATCAAAGATTTGATCTGTTTTTGACAAATCAAAATAATAGCTTTTCCCGGTATCGGCAGCTCCTTTCCTTGCTGCAGATGTTGATATTGATGTTGCATTGCCCCCCGTTGTCAGCTTAGGTTTAACCAACGCCTCACAGATTTATTGCTTCTTGATATTGACCTCTGCAACGTCAACTTCTAATTCATCTCCAACTTCTGCCGAGAATACCTCATAATTAAGGTCTTTATAATAGGTACCCTTAGAAGAATTCTTCCTCTCTTTTTCTTCTTTAAGTATCTCCTTATACCGAGAAGCCCTGTCCGCTAAATCGAAGAGATCTTGAAACTCGACCCCATCAAACCTCTTGTGACGTTCAATGTCTAAACCATTTAATGCCAACTTGATATACTCTGGTTCTGGCAAACTTACTCGGCATTTGAGTTTAGCTTTTCTGAACCTGGCAACAAAAGTTTCAACCGATTCACTCGGCAACTGAGATAATCGAGATATGTCTGCCAGTGTAGCTTCTATCTCTGTTCGGTAAAATTGAGTTTGAAAAGCTTCTTCCATTTCATCCCATGTCTGGATAGAATTTGCTGGTAAATTACTATACCATTCAAATGCCGCCCCAGCAAGAGAGCTAGAGAATAACCTCATCCTCAACCAAAGATTAGGACCTGCTTCACCACATTGTGCTGTGAACCTTGCAATGTGCTGTACCATAGAAAAATTCTCTTCACCACAGTACATAGAAAAATCGGGATACTGATAATTTCTAGGTAACTCATGGGCATCAACATGATCAAGATAAGGCTTTCTATATACTGGCCGAGCAAGTTGGCGTGCCACTTCAGCCTGTATTAAAGCCAAAATCTGAGCCCTATCGATCCTCGCATTTCTTCCTAGAGGATCATTTAGGTGTCGCGGAACGAATGGATTAACCCACTCTCTCTGTGGATCGGCATCTACTTGCCCCCCGGCAGCCGCTAGAGGGATCAACAAATTAGCCCTTCCTGGGTTTTGGTTACCCAGCACTTCTTGCTGATCTCTCACCGGAGGAATCGGTTGCACATATGGACGTTGCACATGTTGATTATTCACTGGTGGCTGATACATTGGCACTGTAGTTATTGCCGGCGGATCTGATAATATTGGTGGATTACCAATCGGCATGCCGAGAGTAGGATTTGGCACATTGCCGATTGTGGTACTAAGTGCTGTGCTTAGTGGTATGATACCTGTTGATGCTGTTCGAGGCCCTTGGGTTATATGTATCAATGGTGCCGACATACGCTGAAATATGGATTCATTGGCATGAGACGCTTCGGCTTGGTCATGTCGATTCTAGTTAGCCGATATGCTGGTCTCAAGCTTCTGACTCATCTTCTCCATTTGAGCATACATCATTTGATTTAACTCCTTGGTCATTGACCTCATCTCATGTATTTGAGAGACCAACACTTGATTTGATTCTCCCATTTGGGATCTTACCTCGCCGATCTGAGCCTGTTAGGCATCCATTTTCTGCATAATTGATTCCAATACCCGACCTAAAGGAGTATCGGATGGAACTGATGAATCGGCATCATCTCCTATGCCGAGTAACTGGTTCTCTTCGCCAATATTGTCACTTGTAGTCACACCTTTCGAACCTCTTAGCTTGGGAGGCATATTTACTATAATTTACTCACCTGATGGGTTTCACCGGGCGTGCCAAAAATGTTAATGCTAAAATCAGCCGAC